AGAAGCCTAGCCCAATCAAAACAGGCGAACATTCACTGATTTTCTAAAAGTACCATTCTGCCTATGGAATAGATATGGATAGATTTACGTTATAGAATTTTAACTGTAAAGATATCAAGTTTAGAGACTGGTAAGCTGCTTGCTGACAATTATTTTTCTAAAAATATAAAGATTGTTGCCTTTATGCTTCAAAGACAATTAAAAAGCAGCGGCGCGTTGAGCGGAGGATGGCGGGTGAGAATATGACGTGGAATAACTTCCGCTAATAGCTCGCCCGTTTATTGCGCGTTTAGTGTCGGCCGCTATTTGGCATTGATTTTATCACGATGGCCCCGTCACTCTACCAACTAATTAGTGAGGATCGAGAACCGCCGCTTCGAAGAATGTCTCAGAAGGAGTGGTACTGCTCTCGTGCCGGGGAGAATCCCAAAATCATGTTAGCATTCCTACTATATCGGATCATCAACCGATTACGTTGGCGTCTTTAAGCGCTAGTAAAGAACATGTCCTTACCTCCGATACCGATTGGATTTTTACAAAAGATCCTTACTATCGAGCTCGGTTTGGCAAAGAGCTTTCAAAGCTCCACTGGGTATCACCGCCGTCTGACGGCCGATCACCCGCAGCTACAGGTGCTTGCGCGCACGCCACCTATGCCTCAGGAGATCCCTACAGTAAGGAGAACCTGTCGCACTCGCAGATAATTGCCGAAGCGGCACCTTTTGACGAGTTGCTCCCTCGTTGACACACAATTAGCAGAAATTGAGAAGAGTTTCAGAGGATAACGGATCAGTGGATAAGGGGCTGCAGCCATTCACTATGTTCAAAAATTATGTGTAACTTTGAAATCCTTCGTAGTGGCATAAACTTCTGAAAATTAGACCATTTTCTGAATAATACGTTCGAGCTGGTTCTCAATGTCACAGAAAAACGTAATTTTGGGGTATCACTAACCTTGATTTCTCTGTCCGATCATGTACCGAAAATCAAAGCAGAGAGAAGCACTGTTGTTTCGAAAATAGCCCGTAAACGTGCTTTTAATTTCTACAATTCGAAAATTAGTCTCGATTTTTGCAGAATCGTAGTGGGTTCATTGAAAAAATGGTTTTACCTGAAGTTGAAGGGACATAGGTTAGTTTTGTGTTGTTCAAAAAAAAAAACGCTTTTCTACGTAAAAATTGAAATCACGTATTTTCATGAAAAGGTTTACTTGATATAAGAAACGCAACTGCCATCAATCACCAGCATTGTTCCCTCAAGCTATACCGTAATATTCTTATGTAGATATCTAGCATACCTTTGTAGCTATACAGTTTAAAGCTTTTGAAAATTAGTTTAAATAAAATGTGTTTTTTTTTAGTTGACCCTTTTCAGCTTTACTATGAAACGCTTA